GAGTTTTTGGGTTTTACCTTGGAGATTATTTCTAATTCTGCGCTGGTGCTGGAATGGGCGAGCAGGAGCCCACGGCCGCACATTCAAGTGCATTATTTCAATTAGCCGAGCGCTCTTTGTTGCAAGGTGAAATCATTCACTCCCCGGGAAAGCTTTTTTATTGAATGCTTTCTAAATACTCGCATCGGGCACGTCGCCTGGAATTGAGTCTCTGTCACTTGTATTTCTGCGGTGACTTTGACCAGATCAATGACTGGAAAAGGCATTCAGGACACATTGATACCGCGGGGTAGGAGACGAGCGGGGTTTGGTGCTCAGGAGTAAAGAGAAGCCGATAATGAGCAGATAAACGGCTTTTCTTAACCCTTGGCGTTCTCGGGAGGCTTCAGAGCTCCGCTGCCTCTGCTCCTCCACCCCGGCTCTTGGGCTCGATGTGAGCCGAGCAAATATCTCGCGGGTATTCCATAAATTCGGAATGAAATGCGGCCGGAATAATGAGAAAGTCTTTCCTAGGGCGGGCGGGGGRAAGAGCCTGCGGCCATAAAAAGTTCCAGCTCGTCCAGGATTTCGTTTCTGAGCGGAGCCGCGGTGCCGGAGCGAGCGGGGGGAACAAACTCTGGAGACGTTTGCTATTGCAGATTCCCAGATTGACCTTTTATCCCGACACCAGAACATCGCCCGGGATTCAGCGGGTGCGGAGCCGCTCCGAGCCCGCTGGAGCCTCGGCTCTTTCTCATCCTTTCCTRAGCAAAACCGAGATTAAACGTGTTTGAAACCACTATCTTAGCCCGCAGGGGGAGGGATTTWTTTTTATTTTTCCCATGAAATAGTGGCATTTAAGAAAGTATTTAGAAATTATTGAGGGTTTGGGTTTTTTTGTTTTTTTTTTTTCTTGAATCCTTGAGATTTTCTGAGCGCTAAGGGACACRGAGCTTCTCTCGTCCGAGCCGGGGATCCCAGCCCGGGGGGATGCTCCGAGTCCTCGGCCAAACAGAGCGAAATATTCCGTCCCTTCACAGAGAGGAGAGGTTGGGCGGCTTTTCGTGTGCCCCGGCTTTTCCCATTTTGCTGCACCTCAAGAAAACCGGGATTTTATTGCGCCTGGAGTTCAAGGACGCTCCCTCTCACATTTCGCCGTCTTAATAAAGTGGAGCAGGTCCTGCTTCCTCAGCTTGCTTACCAAATCCTGGATTAATAAAGTTTACTTAGTTATTTCAATAGATTAAATGTCACATTTTAAATGGAAGGGGAAGGTTCTRCCTTCCTGACCTATTTTTCATTTCTGATTTGGAAAAAGGCAAGATTAGCATGGATATTGCATTTTCAAGGACCTCGCCACTATTAAATAGACTGTTAAGTGCATTTTATGGCTGAAGAGTCTGTTCCCAGTTCAGTCTGGGAGACGTGCTAAGTTCATCTCTACCTGCTACATTGAACATCCACTGACTAAAATACTTCCTGTGGATGTAATACCTATGCTCTGTATCTTTTAAGTACATAACGCTTAATGTTTTAGGACTAGGAACACGTAATTCAATCAAAGCCCCCGGAATTGAAGAGTTGTCTCTCAGGAAAGCTGTGTGGCGAGTGTTTGCCCGGTTGCAGCGATTCCCGGCTCGGAGAAAAAGCGCGGTGGTGGCAAGGGAAGCTGCGGGGATGGATGACACGGATGCTCCCGGCTCGGCGCGGAGGTTGAAGCGCATCAGTCGCCGCCCCGGGGGATGCCCGAGCTCAGGCTGTCCGCAGCCGCGGGGATGGGCAGCGTAACTTGCGCCAGGAGCTGGCTGCGATTCCTCGCTCGCTGCCATTTAACACCGATAAAATGTCCCTGGGGATGGCCGGGCTGTTTTTCCGCCTCCCCGGAGCAGGTGGGGACAGGCCCAGAGCGCGCCTCGGACCTGAGGGAGCGATCGCAAAACTACACGAGGTGCCCCGAGAGGCAAAATCCCATCGAATTCCCGCAGCTCCCGGGAAAAGCCCCCCTGACCCGCACACGCGTGGGGAAGGAAAAATCTCCACCCCCTAAAGCAAGTCTTTGCGGTATCTTTCGCGGTGGGAGAGCCCCGAGGGGCCCAAAAAAGATGAGCTTTGGGCTCATCCCAAAGCGAAATGTTTGCGCTCCTTCCTGTGTGTCCGGCCCAGGACACGGAGCCGGGGCCGGCTCGGGCGGTGCCGGTGCGGTCACAGCGGGTTAAATCCCGGTTCCACSGGCGCGGAGCCGAGCCCGTAACCCCCGTGGAAGCCGGAGCCGCCCTCAAACGCTGCCCGTGTCCCAAAGGGGTCTGATGTCACCGGTGGACGGTTCCCTCCGACACACCGGGAAGGAAAAGTCTCTCGACGCTCCCCAGCGGGAGCGCTCCCGGCGCTGTYCCCTCCGGTAAACCCGGCCTCAGTTCTGCCCTCCGGCAGCTCCGGAGCGGGCTCTGCGATCGCCACCCCCCTCCGGGGACACTGCTGGGGCCTCACGGTTCTCGGCTGGGGGGATACTCAGAGCRCTGGGGCTCCTCACTGAGGTAAATACACACACGCGATAAATGACATTTATAAATAACCGCAAAATGTCTTTTCCTGCCTTTTCCAACGCTCGCCGCAGCCTTTCAACACCCATTAGCCCGAAACTTTCAGCCCCGCGCGGTGCCCGGGAGMCACCAGTGATGCTATAAATAGGCGGCGTTGGGAGCGCGGAAAAGGGAGCAACGGGAGCGCAACTCCCGCGACCGCTCAGCGAAACGAGAGGGTTTCCCGGGAGCCCCGCATCAGCCGAGGAAATGGCCCTGATGAGCYCATCTCGTCCCTTTTTCAACCAGCGTTGATGGTTTAGAGGATTAGGGCCAGATCCTATCGTCAGATCCTATTATAAATTCCTTCCCCGGGCGGAGGGAGCGGCGGGGCCGTAATTGTAATAAATAAGGAGAGGGGTCGGCGAGGGTGCAGGGGGTGGTGGTTCTGGGTAAACTCTCCCGGCTGAGGGAGGGTCATTTTCCCSGTGTTTCGGATCCAGTTACTTCCAACACACCCCAGGGACCGACGTGACACGACTTATACTAATGGGCATCTGTCACCGGCCGTGTCAAGTTTTGCCATATGCGGCGGACAAGTTTGTGGAAGGGAAAAAAAAAGAGAAAGAACAAGGCAAAGAGTTTCTCTAGTCTGGTTGAGGCCCGGGGTTGAGGAAACTTCTCCGGGATGTGCTGGTCCCGGCTGTTCCCGGTCGCCGCTSCCTGTCCGGCTGTGGGGGCTGAGCCCGGGAAAGGCGCTCTTGACCCGGCTGCAAACCCTYCCGTATTTGGGGACCGACTCCTGACACTCCCTGGACCCCCCATGCCCGCCAGAACGCCCCGTCGCGCCACCCGCTGCTAGAGCGTGCCCGGGTCGGTGTCGTCCCGGGCRGCTGCGGGCACCGGCAGTGCTCTCAGCCCCTCGAATTGCTCCCGGATGCCCCGGGRACTCCCGGCTCCGGGATTGCTCCGGGCCTCGGGGGTGTTCCCGGTTCCGAGGGGGTTCCCGGTCCCGGGAGTGCTCCCGGTCCCGGAGGTTCTGCCGACCTCGGGGGCCGTGAGGGTGATCGCGGTCCCCGTGGATGCTCCGCGGGTGATGCGGGGATGCTCCTGGTCCCGGGGGTGCTCCCGGCCCCGGGGGGGCGCGCCCGTTCCCCGCGGGTGCAGAGGGAGCTGCCGCGCCCCCCGCAGGCCCCGGTGCGCCACTGCAGCCCGGCGGCACCGGGAGCCCCCACCTGCCCGCACGGCTCCGCTGCCGCTCACGGCCCCGCGGCTGCGGGAAACCGGGGACTCCCGCGGGATGGGGGGCTCATCCCGGGCTCCTTCCCGAGCCCCTCGCCTTCCCGGTGCTGCCGGGAGCCTTCCCCGCCGCCACCGTCGCCCCTTCCCCGGGAAAGGCTTCTCCCGCCGGCCGCCGTCCGCCGCGATGGAGGGGAAAGCGGAGGAGAGAAAGAGCGGCCGGAGGTTMCGGAGGGAGAAGCGGTTCCCGGCGGGAGGCGGCGGGCAGGAAAGTTGCCGATGCYGCCGCCGCCGGCGCGCAGATGCCGAGCCGAGGTATTGCTGCTATGTGGGGAAATATGAGCGAGTAATTTTATAAGTAACAAAGGCTGGGGAATGGAATGAGCCCCTGTTATCCGGTGTCCTCTGGAAGCCCTGGATCAGCAGCTTCTTGAGCCTCGCAGCGACTCCGGGCAGAGGCTCCTTTTCTTTTTTCCCAGGGGATCGGCTAAATATAGCAACCCCCTCAATCGCACGAATCACCCACCATTTGCTGTTTGTGTAAAACCGATTAGCCAGACACAACTGTGAAACAGCTCGTCCCTCTGACACCGCCACGCACCGCCACATTCCSCTCCGCGGGGTTCCGCGGGGTTCCGCGGGGCCGTGGGTGCCCGTGGAGGGCCCCGCGTGTCCCCGCTCCCTYCAGGTTCTCCCCGTCCCTGGCAGATGATTAGCGAGTCCTTATTTATAAAGTTCAAACGATCTCATCACCGGGGCTGCTCGGTTTATTTTAGTCTATGTATGCGGAGGTATAAATATTTACTTAGGAAGAAATAATATTTACTGCTTACCAGGAAAGCAAGGACACTTTTATTTATATATTTATTTTAAATCCACGGCTGCCGGAGGGTTGTTGGAGGGGAAATAAGCGCCTGGTTCTGCTCCTCCCGCAGCCGAGCCTGCCGCATCCCGCATCCCGCCTGCATTTTACGCAGCCGATTTTCCTAACAAAGACAACGAAWTATTCGGGCGGAAAAGCAAAATCCACGCAGGTTTTCAAAGGTGGCAAAAATTGAACTTTGTAAGAGGAAGATAATAAAGTACCAAACACTGTCAGTGCACAGGAGAGACCGAGATCTCGTCAGGCTCAACCCCCCCGACGCGCCGCTTTAAATATTATAACGCTACATATTAATTCTTTTTGTTTTTCATTTTGTCTGTCTTTTCATTTTAGCTCTGAAAATGCATATAAATGTGCTACTATTTTTAATTTCGCAGCTGTCATTAAAGCTGAATTATTGGGAATTAACTGGGAAAGGCCGGTCCCTTCCCGCGGGAAGAACCGCTGCTTCAACCCTGRTTATTTCCCTGATCTAAACGAAAGACCCGCGCTCGGACACCGCACGGCCACGGCTTGAATATCTATATTTTTTTTCCTTAAAATAAATAGTAAACATTGATTAAATCGACCCAACGTGTTTTATTTAAAATAATTTCCCTTATRATTAGTCCCGACCGCAGCCCCAAAGCGTACCTATTCCGGCCGGGAATGCCGCAGCGCCGGGATGTGGAGTCGAAGCCAGGCCGAGAAAAATTAAAATATTTAGGGAAACAACACGGCGCGCTCGCGGGAGCCTCGGACCTGCCGGGGAAGGTTGTATTTGGAAGGAATTGGGGTGACAGTGGCTCCGCCGCGGCGGCCGCTCCTCGAACGAGCAAGGCCGGGCGCTGTCGCTGCGCGGCCGCGCAAGGCGCATCCCGAACCGGCGGGACGGAGCGTGGGAAACCCGCCTGCACCGCGACCTGCGGAACCCGAACTTCCGCGGGGTCACAGAACCGGCGGAACCCGAACCTCCGCGGGGTCACAGAACCGGCGGAACCCGAACCTCCGCGGGGTCACAGAACCGGCGGAACCCGAACCTCCGCGGGGTCAGAGAACCGGCGCTCCGCAGCCGCGCCCCGAGCGCGTCTCCAGCCTCCGCGGCCGCGCAGCCCGTCCTGCGGGCGGGGGTCACAAAGACACCGCTCACACAGAGACGGGCAGAGCATTTTAAAAATTTATTTACAAAGTTGTGTACAACACGAAGGGATAACATTTAGAATACATATATTCATTCATATATAAACAGACTTCTATAATAGAATGACAGCGTTTTTTCTCCTTTTTTTTTTCCTCTCCAAAATTCTCTTTTCTTTCCCTGTTCGTTCGTTTAATATTTAAAATTTCCCCCGCTTATTTCTTTTTTATACAATTTTTTTTTCCTCGTWTGTTCGTTTATTTCGGATAAAACCGCTCGGAGCGCCGGAACCTTCAAAAAAAGTGAAAGTTCGCAGCTCCTAATCGCGACCGTCATTTCGCCTCTTTAGAAAAATAAAAACCCCGAAAGCAACGTCAGTGATTTTTGATACAAATATGTACAAGCGGCGGGGGCGGCGGTGCCCGCTGCTGCTCCGAGCCCGGGCGGCCGCGGAGCCCCGAGGGGGCGGCCGGAGCTCCCCGGGGCGCTGCCCGGGGCTACYTCCCGGGGCTACTGCGCCGGCCACTTGGCCTGCACAGCGGCGGCGGGGGCGGCGGGCTGCAGGAACTGCCCCGCGATGATGTTGGTAGGCACGCTGAGGATGGGGGCGATGGCCGCMGTGGTCCTGGCCAGCGCCAGCGGCTGGTGGGCCATGAGGGCCGACTGCACGGTGACGGGCGGCCGCAGGAAAGTCTGTGCGCTGGCGGCCGAGCTGGCGGCGGGGACGCCGATGATGTTCTCGATGCTGAAGGACGGGCGGCTGCTGGGCTCCGATTTGACGATGGAGCCGGCGGCGCCCAGGCTGTTGAGCTGCAGCTGGAGGCTGGGGCTGAGCTGCGAGTTGAAGGCTTTGCGGCTGAGCTCGCTGGACGGCAGCAGCGGCACGGCGGGCGGCAGCATGGGCCCCACCGGGGGGATGTAGGGGTACTGCAGCGCGGCCGCGGCCGCCGCGGGGTGCGTGTAGGCGCCGGGGTGCAGCCCGTAGGGGCGGCCGTAGGGTCCGGCCAGGCCGTAGGCACCGAAGCCCTGCATCATSAGCGCCGTCTGGTCCCGCAGGTGCTCCTGCTGGTGCCGCTTGAAGCGCTTCCTGCGGCGGAGGAAGCTGCCGTTGTCGAACATGTCCTCGGACTGCGGGTCCAGCGTCCAGTAGTTGCCCTTGCCCGGGTTGCCGGGCTCCCGGGGGATCTTGACGAAGCAGTCGTTGAGGGAGAGGTTGTGGCGGATGCTGTTCTGCCAGGCGGGGAACTTCTCCCGGTAGTAGGGGAAGCGGTTGCTGATGAACTCGCAGATGCCGCTGAGCGTCAGCTTCTTCTGCGGGCTCTGCAGGATGGCCATGGTGATGAGGGCGATGTACGAGTAGGGCGGCTTCACCAGG